CTTCAAATTTATGAAAATTAGGTTTCGACAATTAAGATACAAGATTTACTTCTAATTCACTTAGATGCTCTTTTTTACTTGAACATGAGAATAATCGACAATTAAGATACAAGATTTACTTCTAATTCACTTAGATGCTCTTTTTTACTTGAACATGAGAATAATTTTTTTACTTGAGAAATTTATTAGTTAATATATAGAGTTTTTTATTTGAATAGAAAAAGAATAAATTTTCTAAAACTTGAACATGAGAATAACTTTTTCCCCCTCCTATTTCTTTCTTCATCCGTAGCCTTTTTTTTCTTCACTTTTGTCAAATTAAGTATTTATTTTTGTCCATATCTTATTTTAAACTTTCAAATCCCATATCTCCAAGTTCCAAGCTATATATATAATCTTAGAGGCTGGGGGGGGTTGGAGGAAGTTCCTTTGTGAAAGAAATGGTGACAATTAATGGACAATGTGATGATGTCAAAAGTGAAGGAGGAGCTAGGGTGTGGTAGAGAAAGAAATGGTGACAATAGACAATGTGATGATGTCAAGAGTGAAGGAGGAGTTGGGGTGTGGTAGAGAACATTCGAGGATGGAAATGCAGCCATTAATGGATGCTTGGAGGATGATGGTGCATGCAATTGTTGAAGATTGGACTGATATTGAGGCGAAGTACTTTCAATTTGATTCTCGACAAGGTTTTGCTAGAAAAAAAATCCTTTTTGTTGGCTCTCTCTTTTATGTTTACATTATTGTATCTTTCTTTCAAGAGGTCCAGAAATTAGTTGATTATTGTGGACAAGTGTTTAGGAAGTATGAAAGAGTTGATATTATTAAATGAATTAAAAAAATGCAGATTTTCATGATCATGATTAAACAGATTGCTCAGTGTATTAAATAAAAGTTAGTTTTTCTTGAATACAAAGTATAAAAATTTACAAATTTAAAATTTTATATGTCTGAATAGTATAATTTCACATTGAAAATCTGCCCCCGTCATGTTAATTTTAGTGATGATATTATGTGATGGTTTAATGAAAGATAAAAAACAACAAAATAAAAAAAAATTAAAAAAATAATGTCTTAAGAGTAACCATTAAATTATATTCAAAATTACAAGGTAATATCTTATAAAATTTATTGATGATTTTGGTAAAACTACCAACATAATAACAAGAAAAAAAGGAGAAACAAAAAAGCACCTAAGGAAGTGATACCTCCTATCCATTGAATATTTTGCATGGCACCATTGGAGAGTGCATTAGAAAATATGACAAGTAAGTCCACGTGCAACGTACGTACTTTATACTAGTATTTTTAAAAAAAAAGAAAGAAAGAAAAGACATGGAGATAAAACAACCTACGAGAGTTCAAAAAAAGAAAAAAGAAAAAAAGAAAAAAGAATACGATAAAATTGGATAACTCCCTTAATGCATGTGCTTCTGATCAATAAATAATGAATGGTGTCCTTTTCCAACTCATTATTACGTTCAAGCGGTAAAGAGTCTAAATGTTGTTAGCAGCTAAGGTTTTATATAACAAGTGAATAGTAGGACTCTCAGCACAGCCATCAAGAATATCAGCTGGTTCTTTCAAGTCTGGTCTCCCGCATCTCAGACTCAAACCACCTTTTTTAATTTTTCAGGGAGGAGTCGCCCTCTTTCAGCTTTTGACTCCTTCGTCCTATTTCTTAGGAGGCTTCAACTGCCAACCCTCGGACCTAGCTAGGGATCCGTGAAGAATTAATCTGCTTTCTGAATTAATCTAATATACATTTAATCCTAACCTATCTTAAATAGATATTAGAAGAATATTACAAAATAGATATGAGATAAAATTATATCTAATCACATCTCACAATATCTCATAATATTTACTAAGTCTACTAATACCAAATTATCAATAATATAAAACCCCATGGACCTAGCTAGATGCCAAAAATAAATATATTGATATATATATATATATATATATATATATATATATTATATATATATATATATATATATATATTATAAAGAGAATTAATGGGTATTATATTCATATGAGAGGATTCTCTCATATACAATGATGTGGCACAATCTCAAACAAGTGTATTTTATGAGACATTCTCTCTCCTACTTTATTCACTTGGTGAAGATTGTGCCACATCATTGTATATGAGGAATCTCTCATAATAACATAATGATACCTCATTAATCTCATATATAAATGGGGCTATGCTTGGACCAGCATAAATTTTGTGCTTAGTAGTGATGTGTCACATCCTCATCCACTCACATACATATGAATGTGGTCTCATATTTGAATGAGTAGAGGGGGATGTGACACAATTACTACCAGCATAACCCATATTGCTCATCATATATATATATATATATATTATTATATATATATATAGAGAGAGAGAGAGCAAAACTTGTGTCCACTTAAGTGGACATCCACTAACCTTTTTAAACCCTTAGATGTTTCCTAGGGATCCTTGCATGATATGAAGTGACTTTTATATGTTAAATGAGTGCGATATACAGTATGTGGTGACACAATATTCACTAATCCACCTAAAGTTGACACAAGTTTACTCTCTCTCTCTCTCATATATATATATATAATATATATATATATATATATATATATATATATATATATATATATATATATATATATATTATATATATATATCATATATATATATTATATATAAAATATATATACGGCGCCCGTGCGGGCAATGTGCGCGCTATATACTATTGGCAACAGTTACCTTCCTGTGTGATTCAAGACTTCATTCTCATGGATCCAATTCAACAGCATTAACCGGCTCAACTTTTGCTTTACTTACAGAATTCTTCATCTCTTCGAAGAGATGGATATTAATTTACTACTAAATGTTTCGGACCCAAACCAAACTATACCATCTCTCTTTGACATTAATTATTGATTGGTGCAATTTACTAATGAGTTTTGCAACAAGGACCCAAAATATAGGACCAACAGGGGGGACGTACAGGTGGGGTGTCCCTTTCCTATTGCTTAATGAGCTGATCATCATTAATGATGGCTAGTTTATTTTACAATAGGAGGAAGACAGCTCACCTGTCTCACCTTTTGGTCCCATATTTTGGGTCCTTGGGGAATTTTTCTTTACTAATTCGGATGCGGCATCAACGGTTTTGTAAACAGCTTTCTTTCAAGTTCTTGATACAGAAATTGTCTTCAAGACTCCATTCTTTATACTTTGTTGCTTCATATTTTGGTTATGTTTTTGTCAAGACATAATTTTCTGTTGGGCAGTTTTGCCTTGCATCCTTCTTGGTAAAAACTACCCATTTCATAATGTTTATCCGACTTATCTCCGCTTTGAAAATTGACTGCAGTAAATATCAATGGTCATTCCTACTAATTATGATAGTTCGTCACCTTAATAGGGTCAGAAAATTTTATTACCCTAATATGATCAGTAATTGAATTAAGCCAGAGATTTTTATCTGATTCATTTTTCGGTCATTTTCTTGGAAATAATTGGCGCGTTTAAGCAAACTATGTGCCACTAAGAAACATAATAAATTGTTTGGGAACCAAAGCGTGAGACCTAGCCCCAAGGCGATGTGATACTATGATATCATAAATGTAGAATAAATAAAATAGTATCTACCACGATGGAACACCAAAAGATAACGAGTTTAGTTAGTGTGCACTTGCCAAAATGACAAAAACAGAGCCAGGATTAATCATGACCTAGTTTCATTCTGAACTGATTTAAACAAGTTTAAGGGATTTTTTTTTGGCTTATAAAAATTGGGCTAACATTGACCTAGCTTTTTGTCAAACCAAATAACACCTAAAACTAGGACAAAAATTTAGAGGTTCATCGAACACACCCTTTCGAATGGAGAGATATTTTCTCCACAATATTAACACAACTTTCGAAAAACGTGCAGGACAAAAAAAATAAAGGGAGGACATGAAATACAACTTACACCCTCAAAAAATGACACTAGAACTTGTAAGTAAAATTCGCAAAAAAGATTGGAGAAATTGTATTGACGGCAGACCAAGTTTAGGGCTTGAAATTGCACTCATAACTCTTTGAAGAGCACGGAAATTATGGCAGGAGGAACAATTTAAAGCAAAAGTGTTCATATAACTGAGCTAGTTTCTTTAATTTCTTTATGAAAGGGGAAAAAGAAAATGAGAACCAGTTCTCTACTTGTTTATACTTGCGGTAGGGGGAAAGCACCTCTCAGGAATACGTACGCTTGCTTGGCAAACTATCAATTTCACCAATTGGTATATGAAGTGAAGTAATAGATGGGAAATGTTTTTGTTCCTAAATAGGAATTAATTGAAAACAATATTTTACAAGTATCAATAAACAGGAGTCCGAAGGGGAAATACAATGATCTTTTTGCCTGAAGGAGGTTTACCATTTGAAAATGGTCTATACTTGGATGAAACTGGTGATAATAAGCAGGCTGTTGCTTTGCTTGCTCCTAAAGAGAAATAAGTAAATAGGAAGGAATTCTTGATGCCTTATATACCAAAAAAAATACCTACTACATGCGTGCAAACTTAATTACATGTAGACTGTGAGGTAAGCAAATATCAAACAAGGCCAAAGGTTAGCTTAGCTTCATCTGAGACTTTCTCAAAAGATTCAAAAGTTGTAAAAAACAGACCATATAGCTGCTTGAAGAGCATGTAACTTTCTCGTACTTCGACATAATATATACCCATTTATCTCAAAAAGAAGAAAAGAGGGCGAAAAAAAGGAAGTTTGTTAGACTACTAACGCAAATGAGGTCACACCAACAGTTCTAAGTGACACAAAATCAAATTGACACCAAGAGAACAAATGTTGGTACTTTCATAGCAACCTTCCCTCAGACTCAAAAAGTCCAGTTAATTGACAAGTGCTGTACTAACTTAAATGGTGCACTAATATATCTCTTAGCTTCACTCAAATGTTGGTACTTACACACAGCCGATAACTAGAAAACAAGAAGATAGACTTGGAAAGGGGGGAAAAAGGATAACTTCCTCCATACTGATATTGATAATTTTTGAATCTGTAACATACAAGGAGAGACAGAAAAAGGGTAAAATTGAAAAAGAAACCGGACAGATGATAGATAATATTTCTGGAGGCATCATAAAATATATCACAAATTTATCATCTTCTCCACTTCTAACGATCCTATGGGCAGAAATGCTACACTGCTATATAAAATCAAGCAGAACAAAAGCAAGTAACCAAAGGAATGAAAGAGGTGGTGTAGAGCCTTACTAAAGACGAAGCTTCTAGGTGTCAGTGGCCTTTGGAGTTGGTTGCTTGAAGGCGACGGTGGGAGCAATCCTGCAGCTTCTTCTCTGGTGTTCAAGCACGAGCTCACCAGCAAACCAATCGAGCTTCTCCATGTTTGTCTGCTCTCCTATCCTCTTTCCCCCGAACATTACAGACTCCACATTCTTTTGCTTTAGCATCTCGTCTGCAGCTCCTAGTAGTACCTTCACATTCCCAGGGCTTGGATTGCAGTCTGCATCAGCCCCACACTGCTCCATGCTTGAGCCGTTTGCCTGTGAACAGACAAAGCATACTGCTTTTTTAGTGATGAATATGACTCGTCATCTCAAATCTAAAGGTTGAAGAAAGCTACACTCAGAATTAGCGAACATCTATATAACTTTTGAATAAAATGCAAGGATCATAGTGTTTCAATCAAGCTATAAAGCGCAAAGCTTTTTGATCCAGACGATGAATTATTCGTATTAAACATATCTCAACAAATTGCCACAAAAAAAATATACCCCTAACTTAAAGGTTGAGTGACGGTGACAGTAACAAAGGAACTGTTACGTTCTAGATCATTATGTCAACTACATAGAACACCATTATTCTTTTTTTCTTTCAGAATTGTACGTCCTTGATCTCTAGCTCAGTTATATGAACACTATTTCTTTGTTTGGCATAGTCCTAAATCTCTAGTTTAGATACATGCTTTCTTCAAAGGACATAATCAGGGAAATGTTTCCCTAGTAGCTTCTTATTTTCATCATTTATTAAAGGGGAAAAAAACCGATTAAGACTTTCCTCATCAATAAAATTAACATGGACGACTAGACTAGCAAAAGACTAAAAACGGTCGACAGTATGAGTAGAGAGAACTAGCGATAAATCAACATGTAACTGGGGGCTGGTTACAGATGTTATTTTCCCCGATGCATGAGATGCGAATCCAATCGAACACGAAATATAAATTAAAACGGGTCACATATATAGTTCAATTAATTAGAATCAGCGTCCCAGATGTAGATGACCATACAGCATAAAAAAGTTTGCCTCCATGGCTAAATCCAAACACGCATGTAGGAAAACCAACTAGAACGCATACAAATTTGACATGCATCAAGGTGCTAGCTAGGTTGCCAAATTTGCAAAGGAATAGATATATGCTCTGGTCGGTAGTAGTTCGGTAGAAACCATGGGAATGTAGAACTCCGGGCACTTGAGCCAACACGCAAGTCGCAGGAAAGAACAACGCGCAGCAACAGAACAGAACACAACACAACAAAACGCGGCGTCATAAAGAAGGAGCCAACCTACACCAGGGCATTAACTACAGGCTGTAGCGGTCTACGGGGTATTACTATCTTGCACCCTGTTGGTGTGATTGAATTGAATTGGGCACAGGGTAAAACCAAGCACCACCCACGGGGACGACACCCATCCCACGCGTTGGCCTATACGATCATGACACGTCATCATATAAATCATTTTACCACACCCTACAAAAAAAACGAAGAAATATATATATATATATATATGTATGTATCCTTTTGTTTTATGCTGTCAAGTTCTATAAACAAGGGGGGTGGAAGAAAAGACAACTGCCAGTACCGACCCCCGAGACAAAAGAGCGCAAATTCCTCTCGTGTCATGAATTATTACCCTCCCTTATCCTCATCCCCAACGGCGCATGTTAGCACATATGTCGAAGCATGCACGCGACCTATGGAAGCAAACCAAACGGGTCGGGTAAACATCGTTAGTTTTACCTGGATCCGAATGTAATTGGAGCTCCGACACTGCCCGAACGCCATAGCAACCGCATGG